GTTCTATTTATCAGTGACATGCAAGAAAACAACCAAATAAAGGATTTCGAGAGAAAAAAAAGCTATTCACTTCCTTCCTGTCACATGAGGCTGTCAAGTTCCTACTCCTACTTCCAGGAAGCATGGCGAAGGCAAACCCTCCCAAAGAAATGTAATTTTCATGTTACTAATTTTTTGTTGACATTTATATATCTACATAATCATGAAGGTCTCTAGAATCATCCAAACAAAACAAATCTTACAGGAGATCTAGTTTTTTTGTATACTTAATCAAAAGTCCAAGCGGCAACTATAGTTGACTTGTAAGTACATATCATGGGGAAATGGGGTATACTGTGTTAATAGGTTAATAAATCAAGGTTATTGGTCTTGTTTAGTGCTTTTTGCTTTCATAATATCCCACCTAAAACATAACTTAGCCCTTTAACGGACATCTCTACTGTACAGTAGATTTCCAGTTTTCAAGTGACAGCAGCAGTTTACAAACTTCAGTCAGACACACAAAAGGAAGATTGGAAAGATAAAGAGTTAAAGCATGGGATTAATTGCTGTAGATTATCCTTTTCTCCCTTTTATAGTATTATGCATTGTAAGGGGAAAAATATTGAGGCCCCTTCATCCAGTTTGGATGTGTTTCATTCTAATCGGTCAAGGACCCTAATTCATTGTATGATTAGTAGCTTATGATTCTATTATAATGTTAATATTCAGACAAGTAATGAGTTTACATTTACATTATTATATCAAATCACCTACTACAGTCAGCCATTGAATACTATGGGCCTAAAAAAATGCGTAATTTTCTATCAGGTATACCTTTTTTATTATACAGATGTAATATTTTCTTCATTCTATTTATTTTTATTTATTTATTTTCATTTAACTAACACACCTCTAAGAATGAAAATACCTGCATGTTCAATAATAAGTAAATAAATAAACAAACAAACAATCATGGGTGTAGCCTACACATGATAATTATTTAAATAATCATATATTTAAAAAAGAATATCATTAATTTCATGAATATCAAGGACTTTTGTCAGGGTTAATCCATTTGACCTAATCAGTATGTGCCTATTCATAAAATGTGATATTTTACATATTTACATCACAAAGTATAGTATGCAAATATGTTTATGTAAATGTATAAAACGACTTGTACCTTCACTGCAGTACTCCTTGTAGGTTACTTATACTAAAACTGCTTACGTAAGGGAAAGTTCACCCAAAAATGGAAATGATGTCATCATTTAGTCACCCTCGAGTTGCAAACCTATGAGATTCTTTCTTCTGTTGAGCACAAAAGAAGATATTTTGCAGAATGTTGGTAACCAAACAGTTAAATGCATAATTTTCTTTCAGGTATACCTTTTTTATTTTATAGATGTAATATTTTCGTCATTCTATTTATTTTTATTCATTTATTTTCATTTAACTTTTTGATACACAATACCCTGTTGGGGCAACTTAATGGTTGCACTTTGTTCTGCACTATGTTCCACCACTTTAAGACAAATGGATTTGTTGTGTTTTCATATTCAAGAGATTATAAGCAAGATTAAACTTTTTTGGAGTTTGCATCGAATGTTCTTCGACTTTTATGAATGATAAATTTGTTTTTGAATAAAGATTGATCTGTTGAAAGCAGTTATTTTGAGTTAGATTCCAAAAGCTCTCCTCTTATTCAAATTTGACATCAAAGTGGTGCATACAGCATATTTGCCCACCTGCAACTATAGTTGCCGCACATTCAAATACGATTTTCAAGAAAAAAGAAAAAAAACTGGGGAAAATAAATGCAGAACATGTTCACATAGGACACTATTAACATGACTATATGCATGAAACCATTCAGAAAAATTTGGGCACAAATGGGGGATTTTGACAAAAAAGATCTGCTTAATATATATATATATATATATACTGTATATATGAACCAGTTTAACACTATAGACCGAAAACTGAGATCATATTCCTATTTATCTTTTATAATAAATTATTTTAGTGAATAATCATCTTGTGAATTAATTGCACTAAATGTTTGTCCTTCAGTATTCTGTTGTGATAATATTCAGATTTTGAAGTGTTTAATGATGGTGGTCTGGTGGTTTTGTTTGTAAACTGATTAATATTTACAGAAGTCAAAATAAAAGCACGGATGAGTGAAATGTTATTTAAATCTTTAGATTAAAAACATAAAAGAAGCTGACACTTACGGTGACGTATTGCTGCCACACACATATTTTTTTTTCCACTCAATTATGTCGTAATATAATAAAATAATTAATCTAATAATTAGATTAATCCTAATAAACATGCCGCTACAATTAAAACCATTACATTAAAATACATTTAAAACAGTGTATTTCAATAATTTCAGCAGCGTGCAGATCCTCGTTTATGTCAGACTGTAACTACAGCAGCGCGGAGTCGCTTAGCTCGCTCACATAATGTACCATATAGCCTATCTATAATAACGGGAAACATGTCGTTTTTATGACAAAATATGTCGTTATTACGAGAAAAAAGATGTCGTTTTAACGAGAAAAGATGTCTAGCCTATCTATAATAACGGGAAAACATGTCGTTTTTATGACATAATATGTCGTTATTACGAGAAAAAATATGTCATTTTAACGAGAAAATATGTCGTTTGAATGCGAAAACATCTCATTATTACGAGAAAAGATGTCGTTTTAACGAGAAAACATCTCGTTATTACGAGAAAAGATGTAGTTTTAACGAGAAAACATCTCGTTATTGCGAGAAAAGATGTCGTTAAAATGACATAACATCTCATTATTACGACATAATTGAGTGGAAAAAATGATATGTGTGTGGCAGCAATGCGTCACCGTAGACACTATACTGTTTTTTATTTAATCTAAATCCAGTTAGCAAAAATAATAATAATATTGTGTCTTTATGTCTTTGACTAATTTTTGTCTTTTTGCATATGAAAAGGTCACAGGCCTCATCCTACATCAAAAGTGAGGAATTAATCAGGATTTATAAAAGCAAAACCTGATGTGAAAATGTGTATGCCAAGAAAAGACAATGTGTATAAACCTTTGTGCTCATTTATACTAGTAATTAAAATAATCCAACATCGTTTATAAAAATGTCAATTATATATTCTAAAAAGTGTTAATAGAAAAAAAGGATAAAAAATAAAGATAAACAGACAATTACAATATGTATTACTATTATTATATGCTTTGTGAAAAGTACATCACGGGTATTAAATAATTCCTGAATGTAAACACTTTTGGATTTTCTTGTTCATGGTGATGAGTGCTGTACTTCTTCTGAACCATAAAGGGATAGTTTGTGGCTGTTCTGCAGCTTTTGTTCACATCGTGCTTGAATTTGAAATGAACTGAGATTTATAAAGTGAGAAACATTTAGGAACATTTTGTGTGTGTAAGGATGGTTTGTAGGGACATTCCAGAAATAGTTGTATGTTGACATTTAGGATCATTCTACACGTCTTTATAAACGAGGCCCCAGAACTCATATTTTACAATCAGATGTCACTCAGTGAACCATTAAAAAAATGAAACAAGACTGTGAGTCAAACTATGAACCTCAATCACTGAAACATTTCCTAAGACCTCTATTGGTTCTTCTATGTTGCCAGTTTTACTGTAACAGGGGTTTCCAGTCTCGGTCCTGCGCCGGTGTCCTGCAGAGTTTAGCTCCAGCTTGCCTCAACACACCTGCTTGGAAGTGTCTAGTATGCCTTGTAAGACCTTGATTAGCTGATTCAGGTGTGTTTAATTAGGGTTGGAGCTGAATTCTGCAAGACAGCGGCCCTTCAGGACAGAATTTGGACACCCCTGTTGTAACATGAAGCTCCTCTGATGATGTTGAACATCAACTCCAGTCCTGGAAGGCCAGCACATTGTTTAGTTCCATCTCTAATCAAGTCCCAGAAAGAAGGGCGGGGCTCCAGCCCTCAGCATGCACTGCAGCTCGTATTATTGTCTTATAGTTTTGTATTTGGTGTCCCTTTAAGTTGTGTCATGCAGATACTGTGTGAAGTGTCTAGTGTCTCCATGATTGTGGTTTGTGTTCTGGAGGTCACGAATACCACATACCAGAAAGAATAATTAGTTGAGTGATGTCATCTTCTGGACATGTCATGTGGCTTTAATGCCAATACATTTACAGTGCATCAAAATACCAGAATCACTCACTGTCTGTTCGTGGAGAGAAACAGATTAATGTGGCCAGTTCATAGGTGTGGGTTACTAGAATCACACCCCCAGAAACACCTTGGGCATTTGAATGAATTCAGGATCTGGGTTTAACTTCTGAAGGGCTCTGCCCATTTACACTATCATTTATAGTTTATAGCAGGGGTGTAACGATACATTAATTAAATGATTCACCATATGATGTATCGATGCTTCTATATATTTTTAAGAGGCATCTTTATTTTTACTCTCTCCACATCTTTACACAATGCCCGTCTTCTGTTCTACGTGTTTCTGTTCCGCACATTTTGTTTGTTTACATTTATTTTTTAGAATTTGTTTTTTTTCTACAAAATGAAGTACCTTATTTTGTTGTGTCTCCTAATGGAAGCACTAGATTTACACATTTTAGATCGCACAGAAACTGGACAGCCTTTCTTGACTGTTGTCATGCACTGACCAATCAACTTTCATCAGACGACTGATCTCATACGTGACGACTTTTTCTCCATAATTCATTTTTCTGTTTTATTTAAAACAACAAAGGCTAGTATTAAAAAGGTAGTGTTATATATTTTGGTTGCATTTGAGTTGATAGAAATGTAACTTGTGTAAATTAGGCTCATAATATCAAAATATCGATATATCACTCACAGGCCGCTTAAATGTATTACATTTTATTATCTTATATATTGTAAATATTATTATGGTGAAATACTGATCTGATATCCAAATGCCATGTCAATAAATAAATAATTACAATTAATTTAAATCTCTTGAAACTTTGCTACTTTGAGTCATTGTGTTGTTTGTGATCCTCCCATCAGCAGCTGCAGTGTCTCTCAGCTGTATCAGTGCAGTCACTGTGACTCTGACTGACGGAGGTTTTTGTTCGACTCTTTATCACTGTGTGAACACATATTTACTGTTGATGTAGTGGTAACTCTGACAGTAATAATCTCCTGTATCTTCAGTCTGGACTCCACTGATGGTCAGAGAGAAATATCTTCCAGTATATGCTGTTCCACTGCCACTGAATCTAGATGGAGTTCCAGAATAAAGGCTATTTATGTCATGAATAAGAAGCTTAGGTGCTTCTCCAGGTTTTTGTTGATACCAGGCTAAATCATCATATGATAATGCTACATCCATATTACGCTCAATTGTAGCTTTTTGACCCTGCTGAACAGTTTTAACTTCAGGTTGAGTCAGAGTGACTCCTCTGCATTCTGAAGAAGAGAAAATAACAACAATTAGTGAATATCCGTTGTTGCAGGAAGTGTATTAAAAAGAATAAACATCCCACCTTGAATAAAAGCTGCAATGGTCCAGATGAGGATGATGATGTTGTTCATTGTTGTTGTTGTGTCTTGTGTGATGATGAAGATTGTGTTGTGTTCTGCTCTCAGTCATGAAGTGTTAAACTCACAGCACTATAAACACTCTCAGAGCACTGAAGCATGTGCTGACAATGCAAAGAAGTGGGCAGGATTTACAACAGCTTGTGCTGCTAACAAACTCATATACACTGATACAGAACTAATAATCTGACATTCTCACAATTATGCTTGTTCAGTAACAATTTTTGAATCATTGTGTGATAATTTAATGGTTTAAATGTTTAATCTTTAGAGGAACCTTAAGTCAATTGTGTGGATATTTCACTGGTTCTTATTATAGTGGTTTATACTGACACATATCAGCATTAATGCAGCATCATACAAGTCTCCGCCATCTTGGAGCATCCAATCACTTCAGTAGCTTCCAACAAAGATTAATGACTGCTGTATACTCAACAATATGAGACACTGTAATATTTATCATCTCTGTTTAATTTACAAACATACAGTATTAAGAAAATGAAAATGGCTGCCTGGGTATGTTTCCAAGATTTCTGCCAGTTGAATCAATTTCATTGTTTTTTTTATGACAAACAGACTAAAGAACACAATACAGAGGGTGCAAGCAGACAGATCTGCAAATAGATCTGAATACATATAACAAACACCAATACACGATCATGACATAGAGGTAGTGAAATATACAAGACACAAGAGTGAGACCAACAAACAGATTTACATGTCGATCTGTAGATGACAAACAATGATACATACATATTTAACATCTTTACCACAAGTCACTAAACATCTGTTTCATCCGGGGTTTTTTTTTTTTTTTATTCCATTTATTTCCATTTATTGAAACAGTGATTAATAGATATTTAGTTCTGTCCTTCCACTTAAATTCCTCTTTGTTAACACTTTTGGTAACACTTATAATAACTGTCATTAATAAATAATTAACACGCATCAATTAAAGCTTAACAGATCATTAGTTAATATACATTCACATAGCTCAAAATATGAGATTATATGCTTGTTAATGTATACTAATGTACTTAAACATTATCTAATGATTAACATATACTTATTTCATGTAAATAATAATGCTTACAAATGTCAGTAAACTTTCAATCCATGTGATCATGCACTTCTTAAAAAAATCTACAAATGATTTTAACAGATGTTATACAATGATTAAAAGCTTTTGTTAATGCACAACTCTTCTGCTGCTGTTGAGGTGTGATACAGCTAAGGTTAGGGACAGGTTTGGTGTATGGGTTGGTTTAAGGGTAGGTTAAGGGGTCAGAAGTGTGCAGTGGTCAATTTGATTATTATAAGGGAACACGGTTCATTCTGCTTTATTACATTGTTTAGATGAATGAACAAGTAATTTCTTTGAATTTGTTTCTCCTGTTGATCTACGATTCAAGGAATATCCTGTTTAATGATATACAGTAGTATACTAATATGTCTCGAGGCAATAAAAACACGGTTTGCCAATGTGTTTAATGTCTTTAGCAAGCATTTACATAAACTTAACTAACCACCCTTTACATACCTTTTCATTTGTAGATTTTTAAAAAGTGCATGTTCGTATGACTTGAAAGTTTAATGACATTTGTAAGTATAAACTGATCCGTTAAGTATTATGCAACTTTTGTTAATGATTTATTAATGACGCTTTTAATCATTGTAAACCATCTTTCAAAATCACTTGAAGATTTTTAAAAAGTGCATGATCATATGCATTGAAAGTGCAATGACATTTGCAAGCATATCAATTTACATCAAATAATGATCTGCTGATCATTAGTTAATATTTAATAAGTTCATTAACAACATGTCATCTCATGTTTCTAGCTAGGTGAATATAAAATAACTATGTTAACTATGTTATCATATAAAATATGATCTGTTAAGCATTATATAATGTTTGTTAATGTTTAATGTTAATGTTTGTCTGAAGCTGCAGGTTTTTCTGTGAATCATGATGATTGAGCTGCATGAACTGACTATCAGCTTGCCAGTGGTGCATCAACGGAGGCCCGACCACAGTGAACCTCTGCTGGTGTGATACCCAAAAAACACCGGCAGTCTGACAGCATTATTAGCTTTGTCAGCTCACTGATGGTATGTAGACGGAGGTCCACCTGTGTCACGATGCTGACTTTGTGCCGCCCAAAAAAAACACTGGCAGACCAACAGGTCATTGTTAGCTGGGATGGTTATAAAATAATTACATTGTTTTCAAGCAATAACAAACATTTTGATTGTACTATATATGAGAGAGTTTCGTTCTTTTTGAGGAAAAAAAAAGTCAAAAGTGTTGTCAGCAGCTGAGGCTCTCAGTGTGTTGAAGTGCTGTTTCTCTCTCTCTGCTGGAGTTTGTGTTCACTCGAGTGGAATAGAGGTTTTTGTACGAGCCTTTCATTAGATTGTATCACTGTGGTGGACTTTCGGTGGAGGAACTAAACTTGGAGGAACTAAACTGGTGCTCGGTAAGTCTGTCTTTTTAATATCCCATTGAAAACCTACAATTTAGATTGTATAAAAAGTAAAAAAACAAATGTAATAAATATAATTTACAATAGTTTAGATTGTTTAATGTTTAAAAATACATTTAGATATTCAGAAGAACTGAATTATTATTAATACTAGTTTAGGGACCAATTCTCACTATTAACCAGTTGCTTATTAGCATGCATATTACTAGCATACTGTCTGTTCTTTAGTACTTATAAAGCAATTATTAATACCTTATTCTGCATCAGTATATTTTTGATCCCTTAACCTAACACCATACATACACTTAACAACTACCTTACTAACTATTAATAAGCAGCAAATTAGGAGTTTATTGAGGGGAAATTTTGTAGTTAATTCTAATAGTTAATTGTGAATTAACTATTAATATTTAATTGTGAGAAATATAAGTGTGACCAAATTATTTACTTTGAAGAAAAATTGCTGTCTAAACACTTTTTCATAATGCATCTCATAATTTTTCATTATGTGTGAGTTTTATCTGTTTTTTTTTTTTGCTCGTGTTTTTCTTGTAATCCAGTGAGTACTACAAGCACATTTTATACAAAATATGTGTACATTTTTACACTTAGTAAATTTAATTGTTTTCTAATTCCAAACAGTGCTATTCTGTGTAGTCACACAATTTCTGTTTGAAACTGAAAAGTGTAATACGTAAATAAATAAAGTTAACACATTATTAGGATATTACATTTTAAGTTACATTAAGTAAATACATTATTTAAGGCTAATCAGTGATATAATATAACAGCTAACATAAAATTGTAAGAACATCATATTGGGTATAAAAACTACTGAAACTGAAGCAGTAAATGACTTGGTACAGTATGTTTAAGTCATGAAAGTCATGTTGAAATGATGTGAGTGATGCAGGGCAGAAGAGTGCTGGAGCTGCAGTGTGTTTTCTTTGTGTTTGTGAATGTGTTGTGTTTGTCTCCTGCAGCTGGTCCCACAGTGAAGCCCTCAGTGTCTCTGCTGCCGCCCTCTTCTCTGCAGATCTCTGGAGACTCAGCCGCACTGCTCTGCCTGCTCAGCTCTTACTCTCCACAGGGGGCGCTGGTGAGCTGGACACTGGACGGCTCAGAGGTCACCGAGGGGGTTGTGACCAGCGCAGAGAGCGAGCAGGACGGCCGCTACAGCCGCAGTAGCGTCCTGACCCTCAGCAAAGCACGCTGGGAAGAGGGAGAGCTGTACGTCTGCAGAGTAACACATGATGGAGCTCCTCATGAGGCCTCGTTCCACAAGAGTCGCTGTTAGTCGCTCGCAGTGCTGATGTTTCTCCAGTGAGCGCTGCTCTCTCCTGAAGATGAGCGTATCTGAGTGTCCTGTGTCAGGCAGGATTCACATGAGTCTAGTGCTGCAGCTGTAGTCATTTACAACTCAATACTGAAAGAGAGCTCTAGTGTCAAAGCACTGGCTGATCTTTCAATCTGCTGTGTTTGCTGCAACATTCAATAAAGCTTCTCAACAAACTCCATTTGTGTCTGACAACATCATTCAACTAACAGATGAAGATGCATGTAGTGTTTATTCAGGTGCTTTTCAGAAGCTCGATCAGTAGCAGTAAATCTAGTCAAATAAAGCTCTTGGGGTTTGAACATGGTCTCTGGAGACAGAGCTGCTCTATTCTGAGAGGATCAGAATCACTCCACCCTGACAATGTAAATGGGATTTTCAGCCCACACTCCCAGAGTCACTGTTTGATTGGTTACATGATCTGGACTGAAACAGACCAGTTTCACTTCTGCTGTAGTCAAGCAGCACACAGACAAACTCACCATTACATTTATTAGCAGCTTAGAAAATATATATGAAAATGTCATCAAACTCTAATCAATAACATAAACACAAGCTTTTGTGTCAGATTGTTATGTTGAAACACTAAATATAATGGTAAATAGTGAAATTACTTGGGGAAATTTACCCAAGTGACAAGTCAGACAGTCAACATGCCATAAACATTAATATTAACACCAAGAAAACATGTTTAATGGACTCTTTGCAGATGGAAAAAAAAGTGTTTTTTTTCGTCTGTTTTTTCATATAATAAAGTTAACTTTCGGCTGCATGTCATGTTATTTATTACTTATCAGAGCAAAGAGATGTTGAAACCTGAGATTCACACAGTCCATTCAGCATGCTTCTGTTTTTCAAATGAAACCAAATAATCCACACATAAGATGAAGTCAAGATGCACAAGTACACTGCGTGAAAGCCATTTGCATTTAATATATACTGCAGATGTTCATTTTAACTGTAGACAGAGACAGACATACTCACAAGTCTTTCATCACGAGTCCGAGTCGAGTCTGGAGTCGATTCAGAAGTCTATTAAAATGTGACTCGAGTGCCCATCTCTGGATATAGATTTACAGAGGAAATATTCTGGAAATAACCAGAGGAAATATCCAGCTCAGTTTTACAGACATTGAAGTATACAGTACTTCTATGTAAAACTCCAAGGAATCACCTAAATTGGATCTAGTGTTAGTGAAAACTAACCAAACACATGCTTTATTACTTACAGTCTTATTATTTAATGAAACTCCATTAAACAGCCACCCTGGATACTGTTATTCGAATTACATAGGAGAGGTTTTTATGGATCTTTTGGTAACACTTTAGTACTTTTTTGGTAACACTTTAGTGAACACTTATTCACTATTAACTACGAATTTTCCCTCAATAAATTCCTAATTGCTGCTTATTAATAGTTAGTATGGTAGCTGTTAAGTTTAGGTATTCGGTAGGATTAGGGATGTAGAATAAGGTCATGTATAATAAGGCATTAATAGGTGCTTAATTGCTACTAATAAATGGCTAATATTCTAGTAATATGCATGCTAATAAGCAACTAGTTAAGAGACCCTAAAATAAAGTGTTACCATCTTTCTGTACGGGACTTCAGAGCTTGATGGAAAAATGTTGGCATGGAAACAAGGTTTCTCAGCACAGTAATTTGATTGGCTGAATGTCAGTAATGTATGTGTTGTAAGGTCAATTCTGTAAGAATGTAAATCTTTCTGTGGGCCAAATTGAAAGCATCACGTCCAGACAGCAGAAGTGACTGAATTCAGTCTGTTCAGTTTGTTTGACAGGGATCATATATTACACCTAAAACATGATGATCATATTAAAACACTGACTCATTCTCCTCAGAAATACATGATTGATGTTTATTGTAATGATACTGAGTTATTAGTGTTTGTTCACTGATCAGTGTTGTGTGTGATTGTGTTTATCAGCAGCTGCAGGATCTCTCAGCTGTATCAGTGCAGTCACTGTGACTCTGACTGACGGAGGTTTTTGTACGACTCTTTATCACTGTGTGACTGTTGGACCACTATTATACATCTGACAGTAATAATCTCCTGTATCTTCAGTCTGAACTCCACTGATGGTCAGAGTGAAATCAGTGTGAGATCCACTGCCACTGAATCTAGATGGAGTTCCAGTGTTACGGCTTGTTGCTCGATATATGAGGAGTTTAGGAGCTTCTCCAGGTTTCTGTAAATACCAGGATAAACGATCACCCCAGTATGCACTACTGCTGGTTTTACATTTTATTCTGACATTTTGTCCTTCAGCTGCTGTTATTGATGGACTCTCTGAGTTAAAGTGTACTGGCCTCTACACTCTGAAAGAACATAGTGAAGATAATGAACTACCTGTGTTTCACACGTCAAAGACTTAATAAACTGTACAAATTTTATCACACAAACCTTGAGCAAACAGTATGAGAGTCCAGATGAAGATGATGATGTTGTTCATTGTTGTTGTTTTGTCTTGTGTGATGATGAAGATTGTGTTCTGTTCTGCTCTCAGTCATGAAGTGTTAAACTCACAGCACTATAAACACTCTCAGAGCACTGAAGCATGTGATGACAATGCAAAGTAACTCTTTATTTAAATAATTTAGCTAAAGCCTGTACCTCACAACACTGGTCAGCAGCAAATATGCTGAACATTAAACATGGATTTACTGGACTGATACATTTATACAGTTTGAAAGATAATAATTAAGCGGTTACAAAATTAGAAAACTAAACTTTTCCTTTAAATGCCTATTAAATATATATATTTTTTATTTTGAAAAATGCCCATTTCCTTTCCAAATGCTCCTTACTCTAACACCACCACCACTACTATCACAACTCAGCCCATTTCTTTGGTAATATGAACACCAGCCCCCACTGCAGTGTATTCTCCCACTCCTGTGAATCATCCTTCACTCATCTGTCATCACTCTGTTCCCCTCGAGACTTCAGTAACCTACAATGGTGCGACAGAGGAATGCAGCGGTTTTCTTCTCCAATGTTCAGCATGGATGTGCAGCCAAATTCAATCCCCACAGAATATAAAAAAAATTGCTCTGTCTGACTAGAGCTCTTCAGTTACATGATGTGTCAGTCTCCGATTTCAAAGAAGTATTTTCTCATCCTGCTTAAGACTCCAATGCAGGAGAACAGCTTCATCACCTCCAGCAGGGGAAGCATTCCGTTTCAGAGTATTCTATCCCAGAGGAAAAATCGGTAACACTTTCTATGAAGCCCGTATTTATAATACATTATAAGGGTATTCTTAAGGCATTATAATGAATGCATAATGCATTATAAAAAAACTTATAATATGTTATATCAACTCATGAATAATCATAACAACAGTTATAGTACATCATAATACTTACGTATTTGTGGTTATAAGTTTAAGAGTATGATTATTTATAACACACAATGAACACCATTGGATATATTGTTTTGAATTTATTGCACCAGTGTGTAATACTATATTGTAGTGTGTGTGTTTTTGAAAGCTTGTATGATGTCTGAGGGAGAAGTTTGGTTTTTCAGCAAAAGTGAATGTTTTTGAGTGTAGAGCTTGATTTTGACCTGAAAATAGGATGTTTGGGGAATTGGGTGAGACGTTATGGATTTGTGTTTACTGTTTTGAGAATACGAGGCATAGTTTCAAGAAATGCGTTTAAGCAATCGAGAACAACTGTAAATATGACATTTGCCTGAATACACTTCTAATTTGCTGTTTATTAATAGTTATGGGATAAAGGGATCTAAAATATGGTCATGCAGAAAAAGGCATTAATTTGTGCTTTATGAGTACCAATGAACAGTCAATATGCTAGTATCATGCATGCTAATGTATAGTGAGAAATGGTCCTTAAAAGTGTTACAGTATTTGATTTTAAAATATGATAAATGTTAATTCAGTTTTTAACTGCAATGCTGTGGACAGTGGATGATTTTTTGGGATGTGAGAAAAGGCTTGATCCTGTTTTGTTCAGCCATCATAGTGATTAACTTAACCAGTACAGATTTAATTCATTATTAGATAGAGTTCTGCATTGTAATATAGTGATCTACAAACAAGAGTGATTGAGGTTCATCCATCAGCAGCTGCAGGATCTCTCAGCTGTATCAGTGCAGTCACTGTGACTCTGACTGACGGAGGTTTTTGTACGACTCTTTATCACTGTGTGAACACCCAGCTATTACTGATATAGTGTTCACTCTGACAGTAATAATCTCCTGTATCTTCAATCTGGACTCCACTGATGGTCAGAGTGAAATCAGTGTAAGATCCACAGCCACTGAATCTAGATGGAGTTCCAGTGTTACGATTTGATATCTGATATATGAGGAGTTTAGGAGCTTCTCCAGGTTTCTGCTGATACCAGGCTAAGTAGCTGCTGTATATTCCTACACTTATAGTTTATTGAACTGTTGTAAAACAAATCAATATCACATTTGTAATCATGGTAATTTTTGGAGAAAAACGGCACTCTTCGTGTGGAATTAATTAACTACATGAAGTGGTAAAAATATATACATTTTCTGCATCCATGTCTTGAATTTGTGATCATTCTAAATGCATTTTATTAGACTAAATCATGCAGTGAAAGAATGCACTGTAAATGCACACACTCACTAGTCTAGACTTCATGTAATGTACGCGTGCACTCTGTAGGGCTCTTTTGAATGTTTTTTGCAAAATACTCGATAATGTCAAATCGCACAATATAGAAATCAGACAGACACTCTCTACAATGAATGTTTGATTATTTTACTGGGTTGATAAAAAACCTAATAATATTAAAGATCTCTCTAAGGCTCTTTGGGTTTAAGAAAAACGCATTATAAATACAATGTATTATGATTATTATTATTTTTTATTATCTGCTCTCAACAGCATATACCTGTAGATTCATACATGCGAACCAGTTTGAAACGAGAATGAAAACTGAGATGATATTCCCATTTATCTTTTATAATAAATTATTTTGTATGCAATGTCATCTTGTAAATGTATTACACTCTTGATGTTTGGCTGTCAATCCTTCAATATTCTGTTGTGGTTTTGAGAGTTAAATGTTTAGATTTGGTGATCTGTTTTTTTTTTCTTTTGTTTTTTTTGTGGGAGATTTTTTAGATTTACCTTAAACTGATTTATATTTACAGAAGTCAAAATAGAAGCACAGATGGGTGAAATGTTATTTAAATATATAGATAAAAATTAAAATTGTATTTAATCAAAATGCAGTTAGCAAATAAAATAATATTTTCTTTATGTCTTTGACTCATTTTTGTCTTTTTGAATTTGAAAAGGTCACAGGCCTCATTTCTAAAATGCACGTACGATCGGATCCTACTTCAAAAGTGAGAACAAATTGGGATTTACAAAGGTAAAAAAAAAAAGTGAAATGATGTGAAAATGTCCTTAGGTGTACAAAAGAGAATTCGTACAAACTTTTTCCATGCATATATAATCAAAATAATACAACATTGTTTATAAAAATGTAAAGAGTAAAAAATAGATAATCACAATATTCATCAACATATGCTTTGTGAAAAGTACGTCACTGGAATTAAAGATCTCCTGAATATAAACATGTTTGGATTTTCTTGTTCAAGTGAGAAGAAATTGGGATTTACAAAGGCAAAAATAAATAAATAAATAAAGATGTGAAATTATATGAAAATGTCCTTATGTGCACAGATGATAAAAAAAAAGATTGTACAAACTTTTGTGTGCATATATAATTTATAAAAATGTAAAGAGTAAAGGTAAAAATAGACAATCACAATATGCATTAATATAACTGAAATTAAAGATTTCATGAATATAAATACGTCTGGATTTCCTTGTTGATGAGTGCTGTACTTCTTCTGAATCATAAAGGGATATTTGTGTCCGTTCTGTAGGTTGATGCTTTTGTTCACATTGTGCTTGAATTTAAAATTAACTGAAATGTATAAAAATCTATGCATTTAGGAAAAACATTTTGTGCGTAAGGATAGTTTTATAAATTGTTTGTAGGGACATTTCAGAAATTCTATGCACATAAATGAGGCCCCAGAAAAAAAAGCTCATATTTCATAGTCAAATGTCACTGAATGAACCATGAAAACACCTGCAGATGAAGGAAATTATGAACCTCAAACATTTCCTAAGATCACTGTTGGTTCTCTGTTTGTTGACTCGGTGTAGTTTTACTGTATCATCAAGCTGCTGTGAGGACGCTGAACATCTGCTGATGGAGCTGCTCTATTCTGAGAGGAACAGAATCACTCAAATATGAGTTTGACTCTTTAACTCTTTATTCTCTGAAATGAGTCAGTTGAGTTGGACTAATGGAGAGATGAGGTTTGTTCATATTCATCAGTTCACACTGAGACTCTCAGCAGTTATACTGGCCTTCTGAATGTTTGAATCAACTGTTGACTCTGTGATGAGACACAGTGAATGATTCATTCTGATGTGTGTCCTTCAGTGTCTCTGTCACTCACAGCTGTTACTGAATCACTCTGACTGCTGTTTCTCTGTCCAAGAATCTGCAGATTCAGTGGATTATTTATAATAAATGATGAACTACATTCATCTACAATGAAGCTGTGTTTGAAAAACAAATCAGAAAGTCTAACAAATCAGTATGACAAGAGTTCTATATTAAAAAAATATCTTAATTGTGTTACAAATGTAAAAAATCTGTTATATTATATTAATCATAAATCTTTTTTGTCATCCTCTCATCAGCAGCTGCAGTATCTCTCAGCTGTATCAGTGCAGTCACTGTGACTCTGACTAACGGAGGTTTTTGTATGACACTGTGTGAACACAGCTTTACTGTTTGGGTAGTGAAAACTCAGACAGTAATAGTCTCCTGTATCTTCAGTCTGGACTCCACTGATGGTCAGAGAGAAATCACTGCCAGATCCATTGCCACTGAATCTAGATGGAGTTCCTGACTGGAGACTGTTAACTCTATAAATCAAGAGTTTAGGAGCTTCTCCAGGTTTCTGTAAGTACCAGGACAGACATGGTGGGCTGCAATCTGTTAAAGGAGTGCTGCAGGTGCATCTCATCACAACAGTCTTTCCTGCTTCAGTTGTTTGAACTGCAGGAGTTTGAGTAACTGTGATCTGTCCACTGGAGCCTGAAAGAGAAATGTATAGGATTCATATATGTACATCAAGGCAAAAACATACATTTGGATCCATATCATAATATACAGTATATGTTAGGTAACTTTATTAATTATACTGCTTCATCCAAACTCTCATGTACCTTGTATAGAGCACAGCAATGTCCAGATGAAGAAGATGATGTTGTTCATTGTTGTTGTTTTGTCTTGTGTGATGATGAAGATTGTGTTCTGTTCTGCTCTCAGTCATGAAGTGTTAAACTCACAGCACTATAAACACTCTCAGAGCACTGAAGCATGTGCTGACAATGCAAAGAAGTGGGCAGGATTCACAACAACTTGAGCTGCTTACATGTATCTCTGCTTTGCTGCTATCTCATGTACACTGCATAATGGAAGACGCACCCTGTGCGAACAGCCAGTGTGCATTTACTGCTGCATTGTAGCATAAAGAGATGAGTTTAGTATGTGCAAAATAATGATGCATTACCCAATTTATCATTAGAGGAAACCAACAGAATAGTTCAATACCAAATTTATTTTGTGGCTTTTTTTTCATCAGTGTATAAAAATCATCAAAATAATTTCATATGAGTTTAGATTGAAGCTGCATTTTTTCCCTGCATCATAATGACTGAACTGTGTATGAAGTATAATTATAAAAAAATGCCATGATAAAAGAGGTAAAAGGTCACCTCAGATCAGCTGCAAGGCCAGAAATCTCCAAGTGGATGAACCTTGCTGAAATAGAGTGGATCTCTATTCTGTGTCTCATTTTAAAGCTGTTTTTTTTTTTTAATGTAACTGTTTCGAAAATGCAGTACTGTCAGAACAAAACAATTGACTTAAAAGAATAGGACTTAAGTCACATATAGGACTGTTTAGGACAAAGAGGGCAAAGAAATTCATTTAGAATAAATTGACTCACGATTACTCATCGCCACATATGAGACAGAGAGCCAATAGAATGTCTGTTTTGTTATCCTTTATTATTTGCATAATTTCCTATCTCAGACACTCTCTACAATGAATGTTTGATTATTTTACTGGGTTGATAAAAAACCTAATAATATTAAAGATCACTGGCTCTTTGGGTTTAAGAAAAGCGCATTATAAATACAACGTATTATGATTATTCTTTTTTTTATTATCTGCTCTCAACAGCATATACCTGTAGATTCATACATGCGAACCAGTTTGAAACGAGAATGAAAACTGAGATGATATTCCCATTTATCTTTTATAATAAATTATTTTGTATGCAATGTCATCTTGTAAATGTATTACACTCTTGATGTTTGGCTGTCAATCCTTCAATATTCTGTTGTGGTTTTGAGAGTTAAATGTTTAGATTTGGTGATCTGTTTTTTTTTTCTTTTGTTTTTTTTGTGGGAGATTTTTTAGATTTACCTTAAACTGATTTATATTTACAGAAGTCAAAATAGAAGCACAGATGGGTGAAATGTTATTTAAATATATAGATAAAAAAATTTAAATTGTATTTAATCAAAATGTAGTTAGCAAATAAAATAAAATTTTTGTCTTTTTGAATTTGAAAAGGTCACAGGCCTCATTTCTAAAATGCACGTACGATCGGATCCTACTTCAAAAGTGAGAACAAATTGGGATTTACAAAGGCAAAAAAAAAAAAGTGAAATGATGTGAAAATGTCCTTAGGTGTACAAAAGAGAATTCGTACAAACTTTTTCCATGCATATATAATCAAAATAATACAACATTGTTTATAAAAATGTAAAGAGTAAAAAATAGATAATCACAATATTCATCAACATATGCTTTGTGAAAAGTATGTCACTGGAATTAAAGATCTCCTGAATATAAACATGTTTGGATTTTCTTGTTCATGGTGATGAGTGATGTACTTCTTCTGAATCATAAAGGGATATTTGTGGCTGTTCTGTAGGTTGATGCTTTTGTTCACATTGTGCTTGAATTTAAAATGAGCTGAGATTTATAAATAGTAATGCATTTAGGAACATTTTTTGTGTGTATGGATAGTTTTATAAATTGTTTGTAGGGACATTTCAGAAATTCTACGCAAGTCTTTATAAATGAGGTCCCAGACTTAAAGCTA